TCAAATTGCAAAAAGTAAAGTTATTTATAAACCTTCAAAACAGACAAATCCAAATATGTAAAAATATACAGGGTGTTCCATTTAAAAAAATAAAGTAGGTGGCGACTTCCGGTATAACCGGAAGTGCTAGAAATCTGAAAATATTTTAGATGGAGAGAACGTAATTGATAATACTTAAGTTTGCATTCTCAAATTTTTTGTTTGGCCAGAACCCCAGAAACGTCTAATGACCGGTCTCGCTGAGACACCCTGTATATCAAAAAAGATTTAAAATAAAATAAAATTAACACATTTAAAAAAAGGGTGAACCATTCTTCAGCCCACTTCAAACTGGGACTGTTTTACCTGGATTAAGGAAGAGGGTAACTTCCTTTAGTCTCAGAAATCGAATTGAATAGAAACAAAAGATGTCTCCCTCTTCTTCCAGTACCAGCGTCATGTCGGAGCTAACAGCGGACGATTCGCATTAAATCTGAACAGAGCTGTACATAAATTCAATATTTACACTCCACCTTTCAGATTTGTGTTTTACAGTTAAGAATTAGAGAAAAATCAAAAATATTAAAATCATTAAAAAATCGTATCTCAAAAACTAATTGAGACATCAGCATAAAATAAGAAACAATTTAAAACAAATTTATTTAGTACTTAATATTTTAAAGATCATTTCTTGGAATCTTCAAATTTCGGAGTGATGATTAATTAGAGTACGTATCACAAAAACTAATTGAGACATCGTTATGAAATAAAAAGCAGTTTAAAGGAAATTGATGTATTATTTAATATTTTGAAGATCATTTGTTGGAATCTTCAAATTTCGGAGTTCTGATTTTTTGAACTCTATCTTGTATAATCTTAAACATAAATATTGGGATAATTAATCTTTGCGTATCTCAAAAAGTAATTGAGCATATACTAATGCACTAATTGCATTTCTGATGAAAGATATATATTTGAAGAGATGATAAATATCACATTCCGTTTGTATTATTTTTAATTGTATAACATAAATTTATTATTTTATCGTGTCAAAAAAACAAAAAAGATTTGAAAGTGATTTTGTGTGTGAACTTATGGATGTGCAAAAATATTGTTCGGTAAGAGATTATCTTACCGACGTGCAGTGCTGAAATGGCTGCATCCGAGGGTTTCCTATTAATGTTACTGGGTGGTATCGGGTCATCCAACAGATCGCACATACGTAAATCGGTTGCGTGTTCTACCAGAAGTTCAATAACATCCCCCGTACGATCCATAATTCCGCAAACCTCCTCAAACGACCGATCGATTAAGGATACCCCGGCCCATTCGAGAACTTTGTCACCTTGTTGAAGCCCTGATTTTTCGGCTACCCCACCAGGAACCGTCCAAACAATGTAGGCAAAAAGACGCCCATCAGCACCGGTTTTTCCACCAACAACTCTCATCCCAAATCCACGAGCTAAAAAAGAATTTATAATATAAGTACGAAGATTTTCACGGCCGGTATTAATTGAATCAAAAGTAGAACTAACACTGGAATTATGATTAAAATTAACACTGGACCAACACTAAACTTTAAAAGAGTTTTTTGAAAAAGTGTTTTCATGACGTTTTGGATGCAATGTTATAACCTTAGTTAGAAACAAAATATATAACAACTTGGCGTTGAATACCAACTAAAACTAGAAAAAACATTACTAGTAGACCTAACGCTAGGCCTAGAACTTACTCTAGACCTAGAACTAGAATTATTCGGGTTTAGTCGTGCGTCTCTCAAGATGGCTAAATCCGAATGTATCTAGTTCTATGTCTAATGTTAGTTCTAGTGACAGTGCTAGGTAGCGCTAGTAAACATAAGATATCACTATGTTCCATATTTTTATTAAACTAAAACTAGAACTAACACTAGACCTAGAACTAGAAACATTCGGGTTTAGCCGCACGTCTCTCAAGACGGCTAAACCCGAATGATTCTAGTTCTAGGTCTTGTGTTAGTTCTAGTGATAGTGCTAGTGTAAAACTAAAACCAACCCTAGAGCTAGAAACATTCGGGTTTAGTCGTGCGTCTCTCAAGACGACTAAACCCGAATGGTTCTAGTTCTAGGTCTTGTGTTAGTTCTAGTGCTAGTGCAAAACTAGAACTAACACTAGACCTAGAACTAGAAACATTCGGGTTTAGCCGCACGTCTCTCAAGACGGCTAAACCCGAATGATTCTAGTTCTAGGTCTTGTGTTAGTTCTAGTGATAATGCTAATGTAAAACTAGAACTAACACTAGACTTATAACTAGAAACATTGGGGTTAAGCCGTCTTGAGAGACGTGCAGCTAAATCCGAATGTATCTAGTTCTAAGTTTAATGTTAGTTCTAGTCACAGTGCTAGGTAGCGCTAGTTAACGTAAGATATCACTATGTTCTATATTTTTATTAAACTAAAACTAGAACTAACACTAGACTTATAACTAGAAACATTCGGGTTTAGCTGTCTTGGGAGATGTGCGGCTAAATCCAAATCTATCTAGTTCTAGATCTAGTGCAAGTTCTGGGCCTAGCTTAGTTTTGTTTTTAGTTGTATTCAGCGCCAAGTTAACCTATATTTATAAATTAAACAAATTTTGCATTTAAAGGTGAAATGTGTTTATTATCACTCTACCGGTTTCGCTCCTTTCGGAGCATCTTCAGGAGTTCCTAAAGATATTAATTTGACAACACTTTCTATTAAACTGTCAATGGTATATTTTCTATTTTAATGTTGGTAATCTGTCAAATGTGATTGTCGTGTATTGAATTTAAACTTTCTTGTTTTGAATAGGTTGATTTTCAACAGGTTAAAATGAGGTATTACAACATAAACATATTAACTCCCTACATCAAACACACTGAAAAATATAATGGTACAGAGAGAGCAGCTATTTTTAGAGTTCGGGAGGTTTTCGTGGAGGTGTGTATGGTTGTTTGAGATAGGTATATAGTGGTCTTCTTGTAGGTATAATTTGTTCGTTTAGGCATGTTACATCAGGGCAGTTGTTGAGGAATTTATTAATTTCATAGTTTTCCATTATTTCTAAATAGTAACTTTTATTGATATGATGAAGGATTCTGGAATTTTTATCTTCGTTAAATTCATGTTTTGAGTTAAATGTTAAGTGATTTCCGAAGTTGGAGTTATTTTTGTGTTTATGTTCTCTTATTCTTTTTCTAAGGCTTCTGCCTGTTTCTCCAATGTACGCTGCTTTACAAGTGTCGCACTCTAGTATGTACACACCATTGTCGTCCAGTTTATTTATTTTGTCCTTATTGTTTATAAGCATTCTTTCTAATGTTTTATTTGGTTTGAAATTAAGATTTATATTATATTGTTTTAAACTCTGTTTTATTTTATTGGATATGTTGCCTTGGAATGTTATAGCTCTATAATAAATACTTTGATCTTCATTGTGTTGATTCTTTAGAGTGGTACAATTAATCATTTTTTGTTTTTTCTGTTGTTTGTTTATAATATTATTTATTATGTAAGTTGGGAAGTTATTATTTTTCGCAACTTGGTAGATTGTATTTATTTCGGTGGTAAGGTTTTCTGTGTTCATTTTTGAATTGTATGCTCTATGTATGTGTGATCTAAAAGCAGCTAGTTTATGTGCGTTACAGTGATATGAGTCGTAGGGTATGACTGCATCTGTCTGTGTTGGTTTTCTGTATGTGTTAAATATAAAACCGTTATCCTGTGTTCTTTTTATGTTTATGTCTAGGTAGTTTATTTCGTTATTTTTCTCTTGTTCTATCGTAAATTGTATCTTGCTGTGTATTGAGTTAATATATTTATGAAAATAGAACTTGTTTTTGAAAGAAGATTACAATTACAAGATGGCATCCAAAACGTCAACTACTTTTTGAAAAGAAGTTTCTAGTTCTAGGTTTAGTGTTAGTTCTAGTGATAGTGTGAGTTCTAGTTTTAGTTCAAAAAACTAATAAATAAATAAGAAAAAAGTAAATAAAAAATTAAATTTGTTGCAGGCCATCAAAAAACTTGTAATGAACAAACAGAAGACTTATGTTTAAAAAAAATCATTCTATGGGATGCAGACAAAAAATTATTTCAACTACAATAATTCAATTCAATACCGAGCATATTAAAAAATTAAACGATAGAAAATATAAATACCAATCAAAAAAAATATTTTATTAATAATTTCACACCGTTTCTTTTTGACTTACATAAGTCTTCTTTAGTAAGCACACAAAAAATAAGATTACGTAGAGAATTTTAAAGTTTCTACAAATTTTAGATTATCTAAAAAAAAATAAGATAAGAACACAAAAAGATGTAATCGTAACATTACGACAATGCGCCGGGAACATTTTCGATACGAAACTCCTTTGAAACAGTTGGCACGAAGTCAAGTTGTGTTTCACACGATTTATCTTTCCGTAAAATTCACCCAACAAACGAAAATGAATAAAACATTTCTCTGTTACGATTTAAATGTGTAATTCGATTAATCAATAAGAAAATTGTTTTAGAAATTAATTAAAAAATCGCGTAGTAAAAAACGAAGAGGTTGTTTTAATAAACGGTGAATTTCGTGACCGAGGGGCATTTCGCGGTTACTTTGCGTGCGAAATCAGATATGAACATAGTTGTTTAACACCAGCTAACCTAATAATTCAAAGGGGAAACGACCCAAGTTCGTTGTGTGCTTTTACGGTTCAGAATTTCTCGTTATAAAATAGATAACGAGGTTACATATTGTAGGGGAACCTGTACTCAGCTCAGTGGATAAGTCTATTAACTGTTTACAGGTAAATCTGCAGCACGGCTGTCCTTAGCAGAACCTGGATGAGTGAGCGAATTGATATTGCCCTCATTCAGGAACCATGGCTCGCCAATACCGGGCGCATCAGCGGACTCGGTAATTTATCCGGTAAGTTACTTTGCTCAGGAGATAGACCCAGAGCTTGTTTACTTATCAGGAACAACATTAATGCTTTCTTAATCTCAGAGCATAGCGACCGCGATTGTGTGGCTGCGGTTCTGAGAATCCGAGGTGAGAAGGGCTGGACAAAAATTGTCATCTGCTCGGCATACTTCCCCGGAACGGAAAATGACCTTCCCCCGGCCGCTGTGCGAGACATAATTGCCTACAGCCGGAGGAATAACCTGCAAGTTGTTGTTGGATGTGACGCCAATGCCCACCACACAATGTGGGCAAGCACCAACACAAATGATCTGAATGACCTTTCGCCGAGCAAGGTATTAATGTTCGTTAAGAGCATTGGACTGCACGGTGAAATTTGATAACGATATCTATCGGGGTACAATAGATCCTTAGGGTCGCGGTGCAAGGTTGGTTGGTCCGCCTACACGATATGTATTCTATGTAATGTAATGTAATGTAATGTACATATTCTATTTAATTTTTATTTATTCAAAATAATTCTTTATTGACTTGTTAAAAATTATTATATGAAATCAAAGTTTCGTTTTAATTTATTCATTCGCTCATTAAATATGCTAATTTCATGATAATTGCTTTGAATCAATTTGCATAATTATGGTAATTAATTTTCGGACAATTAATTATGGGAAGTCGCTCACAAATTATAAACGGCATCATAATTGTTATTATTAACGAACGACGTTTAAATACCAACAACAAAGTCGAATAAATCATCAATATAAAAAATTTATGTCTTTCTGTTGTATAGAACACATAAAGAGCTTTTAACAAGAACTTAATCGGCTTACTTCTATGTGCTTTGTCGGCGGGATCTCGACGTAAAACGATTCTTCGTTGAGCGGCCGTTGCTGGTCCAGAATCTACATCGTGGATAACAATACGGATAGCTTCAGCATCCACGGACGCTTGACGTCGCGGGGTTGCTTCCAAATCTTCTAAAGCTGGTACAGGTCGAGGAACGGTTCGTAAAGCTGCTATGTCGGGCCTAAAACATAATTAAATAAGAATATAATAAATATTTTAACTTTGATGTATAATCGTTAAAGAAAGTAAAGAAAGAAAAAGTGTTAACCGAAAAGTAAACAGGAACAGTAAAAGGTATAAATAGGAGCACCCCAAGGATATCTTCTAGGTTAAAGAGAACAGGTAGATCGTTTGTGGGGGTAGTTTTTTTTTTCGTTCAAATTTTCGCCGTATCGGTCGTAGTGCGTAGGTCGTTTTGTTTTTGTTGTTTGAAGGTGGTCGGTTGCATTAGTCCCCTTGGCCGCACTTATTTTCGCTTTTCGAGAAGAGAAATGAAACCGGCTCCGGAGGCGTTCATTCGGGGTGGTATCGATCGGGCAACAACCCGCTTTTACCTGGGGGTGGCCCGTTTGACGTCAGGCGTTACTCTTAAAATATCATTATCCACATTCACTTCCCTTTTAATTCTTATTTTATACTTCATAAAATCAAAGAATCAATTGAAATTGAGAGTTAAATTAATTAATCATCGCTCTTTTTTGTATCAATTACTTAATTGCAAAAAGTTACAGGTTCACACGAGTAACTTTGTGGGCAAAGTGTTTGAGATGCGGAAATACGAAACCTCTCAATATCATCCCATCATTCTTTAACCTTTGTTTTAGTAGGTCTCAACACTCCTGTATATCGTCTTTGATACTTCTCGTCACTCTCTAACGTAGTTCGGGATATCTCTCAATATCATCCCCGTCACCACTTTGACAAAGTTCCAAATAGTTCTTAATATCTTCGTTGTCACGCTTCAAGGTTTCTTTACATCTCTAAGTATTGTTCCAGATATCTCTCAATGTAATCGTTGCCACAACTTGATATCATTCTCGATATTTTCCTCAATGTTATCACAAATCCTTCTCAATATTAAAGCAAACATCTCTCAAAATTGTTTGTGACTCGCAATACCCGAATTCAGACATTGTCCGAAATTTTTACCTACAACGCGTTGTGGGTAAGCTTAAATAATTGCAACGCGTTCTGAGCAAGATGAGAGATAATAATGGACTCCCGAATTCATGCTTACCAAGTGATATAGTTGAAAATTTAACGACCGAAGAAAAACTTAAAGATCATTTACGTAAAATTAACGAAAATGTCGAATCAAACATAGAGAATGTAGCAGACGCCAATGAAAATTTATCACCAGTTTTGGTAATGGAGGACATCGCAGAACTTTTTCAGTCTGCAATGAGGAATATCATGAAGAAGCATCTTGCTTTGAGTGGGCTGAAAGTGAGGTGGATCTGGAGGAGCTCACGGTGTTGCTGAACCTAGATGAAGTTACGGTGGTGGCCAGGTCAACAACTCAGATTATTAATTACAAATAGTTAAAATTGTGTTAGTTTTACTTAAAAATAATGATATAGTATATTAAAAAACAAGTTTCGTAAGACACGTTTGAAGTGCACGAATTCAAATTGAAAAACGAATGGCGAAGCCACGAGTTTTTTAATGAATGAGTGCTTTAAGTCTTATGAAACGTGTTTTTTATCCTCTTTTTTTTTCTCAAAAATAAAATAAATTTTGACAATGTAGGGAAATAGGTATGTAGCAGTTGGTAACACCGTAACACTTGAAAATAGAAATTTGAATTGACAATTAGAAACTGTCAAAACACAAAATGTATTCACCTGACAAAAATATTTCATGTACACCTCCCAAAATAAGAGAAATTGCTCAGAGTTCAATGTCCTCATCATTGTGGACCTTATATTCGATACTAAGAACGTGTTTAAACATCCATAGAAAAACATTGTCACATTGACAAGTAGAAAAATTAATGACCCAATGTCACCAACTTGAACTGGTTCCATAAAATGTTACTAAAATCTCATTACAGCATCGGATGCTGTAAGGAGTCTCATTACAGCACCCGTTTGAGTACTGTTATAGCTTGTCGCGAATTACAAAAAATACATTACAAATATGAGTTCTTTTTTGTATATTTTGTAACAAATATACAGGGTGTATTTGAATGACTGCAACGAACTTCAAGGGGTGGTTCTTTAGTGAATTTTAAGGGTACTTCAATATATGAACCATGGGCGACTCGATTTGATTGTGAGTTTTAGTGTGAGTATTTAATTGTAGGTGAATCCATATGAATCAAAGTCACATCATCCAACTAAGAACTTAGTCGTCTTACTCTATTCGTTTTTGTGCAAATTCACGAATTCTTCAAAGTTGATGATCGTGTGTGCTAAGACCACTTTGAATAAATAACGGAAATGCAAAGTCTGCTTAAGTTCATCTCCAAAGAGATCTAAATGATATATGTGGCTAGGTTTTAAGAAAACGAGTTTGTTTATTTTGATCGATATTGTATCTAAAACTATGCGATCAACGAAGAATTCGTAGGATTTCAATCATTACAAAAACTTGACGCAAAAACGTTAAGCGTCGTCATATGGTTGTATGTACATATTTAATATCATATATTATGACATCATCACATAACATAAATTGGAAAGTTGCGGCCGTAAGCGGCCTTGTATTGGCTAATAAGTACTTCAATTAAGCCGAGACCGCATTATTCCAGACAATATCGTCCCACACACACTCCAAGTTGTTCTGAAATTATCTCTGATACCATTTTACATCTAATTCAACATTATTGTACCCAAACAACCGTTCTTATTTCCTCTCAACACCGTCATTCATATTTCTTTATAAATTCTTCCACTTTCTTCATAAATACTTTCACTAGTGTGTCCGATACCTCTCAACCTCACCTTGAGTTTCCAAATATAAAACAAATATTTCAAACATCATATCGAACCATATCGGCCATCTCACAGCGAGTTTCTCTCTCGTTTCGAGGATGTTCTATCTTCTCTTGCTCCAACATCAGAAGAACTTGTCTGCATGGGTGATTTTAACATTAATGGCTTAGATATAAATGGCTGCTATGGCAGTCGGTTCATTCCTACTATTGAACAATTTAGTCTTCAACAAATTATCTCAAGCCCAACTCGTGTAACCGTCTCCTCCGCCACATTGATTGACTTTGTGATTTTAAATGTAGATGCTCCTGTTCTTGAATCGGGTGTGACAACTATACATAACATTGCTGATCATTCACTTGTGTTTGTTACCTTATCTTTGATTTGTATCGTTTTACAATTGAAAGCATTACTTATAGAGACTTCAGAAACTTTGACGCTGAAATTTTTCTGGATCAGCTGAGTGCACTTCCTTGGCAGGAACGTTTGCAGCTGTCGAATATTAACGATAAAGTTGACTTTTTTAATTATCATATCATTAACCTTTTTAATCTTTATGCACCTATCAAGACATCGGTTCTACATAAGCATTACCGTCCTTGGGTTACGGACAACATTAAACTTCTTATGAGATTGAGAGATACGGCCTATAAGAAGTTCAAATCCTCTAATTCACCATCTGATTTTACTTATTACAAACAACTACGTAACTTCACCCATATTGCACTCCAACATGAAAAGAAAGCCTTTTTATCTCACATATTCAGGCATAATAATTCAAAAAAACTATGGGGTGCCTTCAGATCTTTGGGAGTTTATAAAAATAAAACTAGTGGCATTCCTAGTAACATTGGCGATGCTGATTCTATTAACAATTTTTTTCTATCCTCTCAAAATAACAGCCCTGGTGATGCAGAACTTATACAATTCTATAATTGTAATTTACTGCCTCAGGTATCTGGTAGGCTGTACTTTTGGCTTGCCTCTGAAGAGGAAGTCTTTCGTACGTTACAATCTATTAAAACTAATGCAGTTGGGTGTGATGGTATTAGCGTAAAAATGTTGTTGTTGTGTTGCCCTGTTATTGTTCCATATTTGTGTCATATTATTAACTGTTGTCTGGAATTTGGGGTTTATCCCGACCAATGGAAAACTGCATTGGTTTCACCAATTCCAAAAAACAAGAATCCAAATGCATTGGTTGATTTACGGCCTATTAGTATTTTAAATGTTACCTCGAAGGTTTTGGAGAGGATTGTGGAGGCGAGAATTTGGGGCCATCTTAATGAATTTAATATATTACCAGCCAATCAGTCTGGATTTCGCCCTGGTTTCAGCTGTACCACGGCTCTTCTTGATGTTACCGACGATGTCTTGCGTGGGATGGATGAGAAGAGTGTCACTGCACTTGTTTTGATCGACTTTTCTAAGGCTTTTGACACGATTCATCATTTAACACTTCTAGCAGTTCTTCATTATATTGGCCTCTCTCCGATAGCTGTTGATTTCTTTAAAAATTATTTTTTACATCGCTCTCAGATTGTTAAATTTCAGGATGCTCTATCGGAGAGAGGCCTTATTACTTCTGGAGTGCCTCAAGGATCGATTTTGGGACCTATACTGTATCTTATTTACACGATTAATCTGTGTTCTAACCTAAAGCACTGTAAAACCCATATGTATGCTGACGACACACAAGTATACTTTCGCTTTAGTAGGGATAACATAGGTGAGTCGCAATCTCTAATGAATTCTGACTTGAAATTACTAGTTGACAACGCCAAACGCCATTGTTTATCTATTAATGCTTCTAAATCGTCTGTCATTATTTTCGGAACCGGTGCTCCCGCGGATGAGGCTAGGCAATCCTTGAACATTCTTGTTAACGATGAACAACTAAACTTTACGCACGTTGCCCGTAATTTAGGTATTGCCATGGACTCTGATTTGAGATTTAAAGGGCATGTCAGTAATCTCCTTCAAAGAGCCTACTCCACCCTTAAGCTTTTGTATTCAAGTAAAAACTTACTGCATCAACAATTAAGAATTCATTTATGCGAGTCACTTGTGTTATCCATTTTTAATTATGGGGATGCTCTTTACCACTCTTGCATCGATGCTGCGAATAGATGTCGTATTCAGCGGGTGCAGAATTCTTGCCTTCGCTTTATCTATGGTATCAGAGGACGTGAGAGAATTTCTCATACGCTCGGTTGGGTCGGTTGGCTGAATATGTCACGACGTAGAATATTACACTCCGCTTGTCTGTATCATAAAATCCTTACTTATAAAACCCCTCCTTATTTACACAACAAAATTTGCTATCGGACAGATATTCATAATATAAATGTTAGGCACCGTTACACGTTAACAATACCGAAGCATCGGCTCGAACTGTTCAAGAGAGCCTTTTCCTACTGTGTGCCTAGCATTTATAACAATATCCCACTTACTATAAAGCTGGAGAATGTGCGTGGTTTCAGAAACAAATTAAAAATTAAACTGCGGAGACAGCAGGAGAAAGCGGGCAATCATTAGGCATATCAAGCATTTTATGACACCTTGAAACCTTTGAATTGGCGTTGCACTTGGGGTGGGTGGTGAGATGGGTTTTAGATATAATTTCATTTAATACTTCCGAGGGCCAATGAAAAACAGTTTGCGCTTTCGCTAATTGACTTGGTCCTCTTTAACTCCATTGATTGTTTATTAGTATTATTATTAGTTTATATACTTTCCTTTGTCATTTGATTTTTTTTTTGTATTACTCTTCTTTTTTCAATGTATTACATGGGGTTAATAAATATTATATTATTATTATTATTATATAGCATCAACCCCTATGCCATGAGGACCGACTTAGACCACCATTTGTTACTTAACATAGACTGTGGCATCGCTCAATATCGTCCTGGACATTTTTTAACAGCGTCGGGATGCTTTATGACCTACTAGAATAATATTCTAAAATATTTTACTTCATCTTGTCTGGCACCTCTCAACATTGTCCCGATATCTAGCAAAATGACTTTTCAATGTGAGAGAAAGAATATGGTTAAGCAAAAGAAAAGAAAATTAGTGTAGGAGAAGGGAATGAAAAAAATGGTTATTTTTTTTAAACATCTTCTTTTCCGATTCGATTCTTATGCAAATCGCGCACATCTTGTAAAACTAGCTCTGTACCCTACAATTACATCTTATCTAAAACATTTGTAATCTCATCACGTAAATTTTACAAGGGAGAACTTGCCGACGCGCATAATTAAACACAAAAAGACAAAAATGAAAACAAGTGCCCATTCTTATTCACCTTTTTATATCCAATTTATACGCTTCCCCCGCGAACACGTAACAGATTATTCGCGCCGCATAAATATTAATGGAAAAAAACCACCCCCCTATGACCTCATTACCACGTTTAGATCCCGCGGCGGAATTATTTCGCAAACGGAATAAACTAAAATTGGGGGATGAAGGCGACGTTAGAGACGAGGGACTTCGGAATTTAATAACCGAGCAATTATGCACTCGTTATCTGCGGAATTTCTGGCTGCGTGCTCGTCCTCTAATTGACGTTCGAAACTGGGGATATGGAAGTGTTCGGTTGTTAACTACAACGCTTATGTGAACCGAACTTAGAGTTCATATTTTTTAATTAAAGTTATTAATTATTTTTTTTTTTTTGAAAAAGTATTAGTAACATTTTTTGAAGCAGCCTGTATGTTGAAATAGGTAAAAAATTAAAAAGTATACTAAAAGTAACTAGAAACATTTGGGTTCAGCCGTGCGTCTCTTAAGATGGCTAAATCCAAATGTTTCTAGTTCTAGGTTTAGTGTTAGTTCTAGAGATGTTGCTAGTGTTAATTTTAGTTTGGGTTGTTATTCAGCTGTAGGTTATCGTATATTTTTATTGAACTAAAACTAGAATGAACACTAGACCTAGAACCAAAAACATTTGGGTTTAGCCGCACGTCTCTAAAGACGGCTAAACCATAGTAAGAGTGCTAGAGTAAAACTATAACTACCACTAGACCTAGAACTAGAAATAGTCGGGTTTAGCCGTCTTGAGACGTACGGCTAAAAGAAAATTTTAAAAGTTTTAGTTCAATATAATACATTAATTATGATGAAAAAAGTAATAATTGTGTAAATATCATCTATTTCGTTTCATGTTGTGCGCTTCGGTGACAATGGCAACGAAAACTTCGCTCATATCGGAGCTTACGATCCAAATGAGTTAGTTAATTACCTAATAATATTGATATTGAGAGAGTGAAGATTTATTCGTTCCTCTCTGCAATTAGGTTAAGATAGCGCGCATTGCGAAATGTTAAAGTCAAATGGGTCTTTTATTTATCACTATTGTACGCGACGGCGTCTTCTTCGCTTTCCAATTAGTCGAATTATTCCGAGTGGTCCCCTTTTTGCCTCTCAACTATAAGGGCACAGCTTGGATCTGAGCGTCTGTATCGTAAATCGATTCCGAATCGAGTTACAAGAGTTAAAACTTAAATTCAATACTCTCCGGTGATTAGAATAAACTGAAAACAACTTACAATTGAGATCCTCGTCTGCGAGACCTTCGATCGTCTTCAGGTAGCGCTAAAGCTGGTCCTCCTGACTCGGGACTTGGGGGGCTGTTTGTTTCAGGGGGTGGTGCTCGAAATGAAGCTCTTCTTCCCAAATTTGAGGTGGTTACCGTGCTGAGTCCTGGTACGGTGAAGACGTCGTACGCCGATGCTCTTCTGGGCATAGGAGCTGGTAATCCAAGTCCTGGATTGTCTGTGGGTGGGGGTGGATTATTTTTGTTGACCTCATCATCGTAACTGTGTTGTCTCGCAACTGCTCTACTAGCTCTTCTTGATCTTGGAGCCTCTCTTTGTTCTCGAGGTGGGCTATTTTGTCGACTACTTGCGGTACTCCTCCCACCACCTCTTCTCCAATCAGAATCTGATTGTTTCGGAGCACCACCCTTTAACTAAAAAATTAGAATATTGGTTCAATATGTACATAATTCAAGGAAATTTGGTGTAGTAATTAAGGAAATGATTTGGTTAATCTAGATTTCAAACTAACGTTTAATGATTTCATCTAATTTTCCCGTTTCGAATTTACTGTTATAAATGAAGTTTACTCAGGCGAGAACTTTATAATTAAATCAAATCATCGATGAAACGCACCTTTTCTAATTCTTTTAACGACGTTGGAGAGACGTCTGAGTGTCTACGAAGTTCTGTACTTCTTGGAGGAGCTAAACCGCCGCCTAAACCCGGGTTTAAACTACTTCCACCACCTAAAATTAACCCAAAAAATTTTTAATTAATTAATTTATTTTTCCAAACTCACCCAATCTTGCTTCTGAGTGTCTCCTTTGTAACTCTTGTATCGGTATCTCTAAAAGACTTTCGTTTGAATCTTGTTGAACCACCGCTCTTGATTGTAATTTTCTTCTACAAACGCTACAAGTCCAATCTGAGGCTTTTTCGTCTTCACCGAGTTGGCTGTAACTCGCGCAATCTTCGCAAACCCTTTGCGAACATTCTTTGCACGTTCTACTAAAATCATCTGGTTTGAATGCTTTTAAACAAACGCGACAAGCTCCGGCTCGACTCGGAGGTTTTCCCGGTTCCGGTTTTGAAACGGGTGTAATCGAAGGCGTTGGTTTTTCTTCGATTTGAGCCACCGGAGGGGTGTCGTCCGGAATCAAAGATGGTCGAGGCCCCATTTTGGTCACTATCAAAAAAAAGAAACTCGATTTGATTGATTTATTGATTTATTTAAGGTAATAATTAAATCAAATAGTTGTTTTATGCGTTCATAAATAAATCAGTAATATTTGTTTCAAATAAATACACTAATGAATAAAATTTTCAATCCCAGCGTTATTTTAACTATCGAATTTCAAAACGTTGATAATCCCCTCCAGCTATTGTCCATTCTATCGGGATCAGCGAAAAATATCCCTTCCCAAACAAAAAAAAACCCAACCCTTCCCGATATCCAGATATGAAATTTTAACCGTGCTTTGCGTTTCAGGGGGTGGTGTTTTTTTTTGTTTATCTCCCCGGGGCGGCGGTGGTTTCGTTCCATTGTTTGAAAAGCGCCCACGTTGGCGATGCGAATTTGGCATCGCGATGCTGCCCAATGGTAAATTAGCACCCTTCGCCGAAATAATAATGCAAACATGTGCAGGGGTGAAACCGGGGACTTGAATCGCGGGGGCGGTTTTTGCTCCGCGCCGGTTAATTCACCGTCGCGTTCAATTAAATATTATTCGGAGGTGGGAGCGAGTTTCAAAATGAAACCTCTCTTCGTTAGTCGCACTGGGATGGTTTAATTAAAATTATAATACGGTAAAATCACAGCACTTCGTGTTGATTTTATTTTTGGGAAGGTGTTTTTTTTTTTAATTTAGATTTTTAATTGTTCTAAATTTCGAAATATAAATTGAAATCGATTATAACTCAATACGTAACTCAATAATCACTATCCCGCCGTTTTATACAGGGTGATTCATAAGTAATGGGCCAAATTGTAAATGTACGTTCAGGAGGCCAAAATAATAATATTTTCATTAACAATAATGGGTCTTAGTCTGCTCCTTACTGAGATACAGGATGTTAAAGCGAAAAAAATAAAATAGATTTTTGTTAATAGATCAGCTACTTTTCTACATAATG